ATGTTATCATCAGAGTTGGGATCAGCTCATAAGCATGCATGCAGCTCTAGCTAGTTTCCATTCCCAAACTGAAACAATTACCACTGAAAAGTGAAGAAAGAGAGTAAGGAGAGCAAGAGGAGTCATTATAGTGCTGCAGTCACCAACACAGCGACTGTATGAAGAACGGTTCCCTAGAGGACATTCCCTGGTGCATTATCATGAAAAGCACATTTCTTCGGTGTTCTGTCATCATCCTATGTAAAATAAAAATAAAAATGAAGACCCATGACAACTGATGCCTTGCATCAACATTCCTGCAGTTCTGGCAAGAACTGGATCTGTGATTTTTTATATATATATTTTAAAAAGCACCTGTGCAGTCTGCCACTGCAAGCTTTAATTAAATGGCATTTATGGTATTTTTGGAACTGCGTGTTGCAAATTCAATATATTTCATTATTAATTCTATTGATTCTGATTTAGACTCTCCCCACCTCACCCCTGCCTTGGAAAAGCAGAGCAGTGTTTTGTGTTTTCTCTTTCCATTTGTCTTTTTTTGGGGAAACGATCCCCTGCGGAGGAGGAAGAGAAACTACTGGAGAACTCCCTGCTCATAGCACTCCTTCAAAATTCTTCAGCCTTCTAATGCCAATGTAGTTGAAAGAAATTCTTTTTAAAAAACAGACTTCCTGCATGAAATAATGAAACCTCAACAAAAGGAACTGTGGCACCATCTTTAGCAACTGCGTAGCGGAACGGTCCCTTCAACAGAACATGCACTCTACCAGATGATGATACAACTGACCAGATGTTTGAAGCAGTAGAATAAAATAATAATAATCTGATAATAATAACAATAATAATAATAATAATAATAATAATAATTTATAATAATACTTTAATAATAATACGCATCTGGCTGGGTTGCCTCAGCCACTCTGTGGAATGGGATTAGAAGTGTCATCTGCTACATGTCTACTCAGAAGTAAGACACATTGAGTTCAGTGGGGTTTACTTCCACTTCAGCAGGTGTAAGATTGCAGTCTCAAAGTACTAGAGCATGGCAAGTACACAAATGGTACACAAATGGTAAACAGCTGCCTGGGTAAATGGAGGTCACCATGTTGGCTATACCTGTGTTAGATATAAATATTATTAAAAGCTGCTACACAGCTATTAAAAGCATGGAAACTTCTTTTGTATCAAGTCCCATGAGCCAACGGTAGCCCCCATGTATGATAGCTTAAGGTTCTTTTGACAAAATAAGTTGACTCAACAGTGCAGCCATGCATTAAATAGTAGATACAGTGGTACCTCAGGTTACATATGCTTCAGGTTACAGACTCCGCTAACCCAGAAATAGTGCTTCAGGTTAAGAACTTTGCTTCAGGATGAGAACAGAAATCGTGCTCCAGTGGCACAGCAGCAGCAGCAGGAGGCCCCATTAGCTAAAGTGGTGCTTCAGGTTAAGAACAGTTTCAGGTTAAGAACGGACCTCTGGAACGAATTAAGTACTTAACCCAAGGTACCACTGTAGTCTGATGTTGTTAAGACTCCAACTGTTATTAGTCCCAGCCAGCATGGCAAATCCATGGTCAGGGATTATGGGAACTGTAGTTCAATCAGGTCCCAAGGACCACAGGTTCTCAATTCCTGGTTTAAAGTACTGTAAGATGCCTTGTCTTGTCTTGGGGTTTCTTTCCAAGCATGATGAAATCACCTTAGCTGTGACTGTACAAACCACGGCTGCACGGAAACCTCTCAAGTGTCAATCATTTGAAATTTGGAAACGAAAAATGTCCACAGAAATCCAAAAAAAGGGAAGTCACTGCAGTACAGCTGAGTAATTTAAGCCAGTTCGAAGCCAAAAGTTCACTGGCAGAAGCCCCTGAGGAATTATTTCACTTGCAAAGGTAACTAGAACCCATGTTCATTCCTCTAGTTCTACATGCAACCCTTTAAACAAGCATCGACTTTTATTTTGAGGAAGTACACTCACTTTTTATTTAGAAGTCCATTATGCATAACCCCTTAACTCTTTGCTGACCGAAAGAATCGCTCTTCTAAAGCACAGTGTGCTGCTAGTCATTATTTATCCCACAAAAACTGTCATGGAAAAAGAAAGCAATTAATTTTGACATAGGTGAAAAATAATCAGATCTATGAATATTTTGCTACACTTCTACGATGCCACAAAAGGGTATGTCATTTTAAGTACGTTGTCCCTTCTGGAGCGGAAAACCTTTTGACAATGTCTGTTCTTCTGGTGAAGTGTGTGGTCACTACCAGCTATGAATATGCAAAGCCTTTCTTTATTAAAATGTGAATAAAACTAACTTTCCACTCTGTGTCCAACAAAAGCAACACATGTTTGCCATCCCCTCCTTAAATTAACTCTGCATGATTCAAAACTTTATCAAAAGCAGTGATCTATTTCTTCTTCAGTACTTTACTTCAAACCAGAATACAGTGGTACCTCAGGTTAAGTACTTAATTTGTTCCGGAGGTCCGTTCTTAACCTGAAACTGTTCTTAACCTGAAGCACCACTTTAGCTAATGGGGCCTCCTGCTGCTGCGCCGCCAGAGCCCGATTTCTGTTCTCATCCTGAAGCAAAGTTCTTAACCTGAAGCACTATTTTTGGGTTAGCGGAGTCTGTAACCTGAAGCATATGTAACCTCAAGCGTATGTAACCTGAGGTACCACTGTACTACAGCAGCCACTGTAGCATGGAGGGCACCCCGTGGGGAGCTACAGCACAAGATGCTGCTTGGGCTTTTGGCACCATCTTTGTGTCCACTTTATCATTCTGTCTTCTATGGAGTGTGTGTACAGAGTCCCCATCTTGTCATGACTCTCCTTCAACCAGTAGTGGCTTGGTGCCTCCTGTGACTGGTGAGGCAGGAGAATGGTAGGCAGAGGCAACTCATTCTAGTTTTCTCACCATCCTGCTTCCTTCCCTGCTGAGTTTTATAGGAGGAAAACTGAGACTAAGGAGGAAGAAGCTGATTACAACTAAGAAAGTAGGTAGGTAAGGCCTGGCTGAGGGTGGTTGGTAAGACAGAGTCCCATTTGCGCTAATAGACCAGCCTCCACTGCCTTCAACGTTTATTTCAGATCACTCTGCAAATACATTTACTAGATGTGACTCCCAAATTGTACAATAGTCATTGCATTTATATAGCCAAGGACTAAACTACTTACTATTCAGAGAACAGTTTGTAGATACCTATGATGTAGCATTGTTGCAGCTAAGTATGTGTAGACCTGATCACTGTTTGACTTTAATATCACAGTGCTCTCTACTCTGGGGTAAACAAACAAAGCAAACACTTTAGTTTCCTGCCTTTGCTTCCCAAGACACCAGTGCTTAATACACACATATATATATTTGGTTGGTTCCCTTTTGCGTGGCTAAGAAGACAGGAAGCCATTTTTGCAGCTGTTCCGGTTTTGGAGAAAATACCAACTTTGTGAAATACCAATTGGGGAAGCTTAGAATAAAACAAATGAAAACTTTAACTTATCCAGCATTATATCTGTTTGCTTTGGGATTCCTTTTTATGTAATTGTTAACTTTAGTTCCGCCCAGATTTCTAAATCCGACAAATTAATCATGAATGGTAACAAAACAAAACACTAGCACTTGTGGTGATTCATTGCAAGCTTTACTTTTACTAAACCTTTTGATTACTTAACAGAGCTTAACAAAAAAGAAAAGTCATCAGAGTGCCTGTGGGGAACAATAGGTTATAATGCATCAATATCAGATGAGTTCCCAAAGTTTTTTTTCCTTAAGCAAACAAACTCCGATCGTAACAAGAAGGCAGGAAAATGCGAGCGGTACTTACAAAGGACTAAAACAACCAGTCAGATGACCTTAAGAATTCATCAGCACCACATGAGAGAATAGGCCGGATAAACGCCCCTTCCCGCAGGCTAAAGGAAAAGCGAGCCACTGCGAAAATAACGCTACTTCCTTTTAACTAAACTACTGTAACATGTTTTAATCTGGGGTCCAGATAGAAGCTCCTCTAGGGGTCAGGCGCGCGCACTGTCCGATTAGTACCACACTTCCTCTTTTTTAAAAATGTGCTCCGCGTATGGTTCACAATACAGCACTTTAATAATTTTCATTTTAATAAAAGAGAGCGCACAGAGGGAAGGAGCATTTATCAGATTTCAGGGCTTATTGGTGAAAAATAAAAGCTCCCTTGGTGTATTACCGCAGCTGAATTAGGCAAGGTGGTTATCTAAAAATGATACAAAAGCCCGAAAAGCTGCAGCTGAGAGAAAGGGATTTATCAAAGCCCTCCTCCCAGGAAACTTCACGGTTGATAGGAATCCCAATCTCCCGCAATGCTCTCTACTCATTGATCTCCACCCCCCGCGCCACTTCACAACAGAGAAATACTCCTGTAATCGATCTAAAAATCTATGGCCACGCCTTCTTTCCCCTTGTTCGGGACTTATCTCGCGCAGCCTTTCTCCCCCCTCGAAAGAAAGGACCGTGCTCTTTGCATGTGCGAAAGTTATGTTTGGCTGGCAAAATGCAAGGCGAAGAGCTGCACAGGTCTGGCCAAGCACGAGCCCAGGTGCTCCTGCCCTGGGCGACATCAGTGTCGCTGCAACCCTATGCACGCTTACCTGCGAGTAAGTTGCACTGAACTCAACGGGGCTTACTCATGAGTAGGCACGCCGCAGCCTTGCACTAAAGCAACCCACAGATTTTTAGACCGGGGGCATCTACCGCATGGAGGAAATTAGGAGGAACCAACGAGCGAAGATTCAGCTTTCGCTCTGCAGGGCAGCAGGACTTTGCTACGTGGCTAAAAGCAGCAGCAGCACCGACGCTATTAGCCCGAAGCGCGGCGGGGAAGCGGGATAAATGCTTCGGAAGCGGCGGGAGAAGTTCAACTCGCCAGGCTTCGTCCTTCGGAAGCCAAGCCGCCTTCCAGCCGCTCCTTCCCGCCACCCAACCGGGGCTTTGCCGAGAGAGTAAGGGGAGCCCTCCACTTACTTTCCCCGGGGTCCCGAGCTTGGGAAGTCCACGCTCGCTGCTTCAGCCCAATGGCCCGGATAGAGCCCGAGCCCGGCGGGAGCGCCTCGCCAGCAGCCGCGCCGTTTTCTCGGCCGCAGGGGAACTGAGAGCGCGCCCGAGGGGAACCAGCCAGCCTCCTGCCCAGCGCCCGTCCTGCTCCCTCGCAGAGAGGAACTTGGGCGGCTTTCGCAGCCTGTCGGGGGCTGAGGCTTCGCCGCTCACTTCCTGGTCCCGGGAAATTTGCATAGCAGGTCGGGAAGGTGGCCGGCCGGCGAGGGGGGGGGGAATCTTTCTTGGAAACCGAAAGGCGGGTCCCGGCAGGAGGGCGACGAGGCGCTCCAAGGGCAGGGGCAGCGCGGACACACCCGCTCCGAGAGCGGGAGAACTCGCTCGCTCTTTCTCGCTCTCGCAGCCGGGGCCCTTGAGGGCAGCCGGCCCCACGGCGCGAAGGGGGCGGAGGGGAGGGGACTCGGTCCGCGGCTCCGAGCTCGGTCATCCCAAGGAAAGCAGCTGCGCGCCTTCCTTGTGGGTGGGGAGTAATTATTCTGACCGAAGCAACCCGGTGCGTGAGGGGATAAAAATAGCTAAGCCAAGTGGACTCTGGTCCCAGCTCTGCCCCTTCACGAGCCTCCATCGGGGCCTAGTCTGCCCCCAAGAAGCCTGCCCAACTCTGGCTCGCGTGGTCCTGGGCAAATCAGGGCCTTCCGGCCTTTAGCCCCCTCTAGTGAAATGGGGAAAAGAAGGCCTCTGAAGATCCATACTCTAGCCACCTGCTCCAGTCCTGCGTTGCACCACCCCAGTCTCGGAGCCGGGAGAAATTGCAAGGGGTTCTGGTGCTTCCCCAGGGTTCCGCTTCCTTAGGGCCAATGGAGATGGTGGTGTCTTTTGGAGATACGGTTTTATTTACACACATATACAACCTGAGCATATGGAGAAAGGAGAGGCTGGCAGCATTGACACCCCAACAGATCTTGCTTCTCCTTTAGGTTTCCAGGGGAGCCCCCAAAGCCCAGCGCATGTTATGCTAGCAGCTTCTAGCATTCCGGACCCAACTGACTGTCACACACACACTAGCCTATTGTTCTACATAGCAGCTGGGTGAGGCAGTGCGGGTAAGACCCTTCCGTCCCTTCTGTGGTGCAGAGCAACTTTGGTTATGCTAAATTGTGGTATTTAAGCCATTGCCTTGACAAAGGAACTAGTTTGGCAAGCTTGCTCTTAAACATTCTACCCCCACAGACACAGGATCCGGAGAACTGGAAAGGGACCCAGGGTACCATCCAGACTGACACCTTCCAAACACATAACAGTTACTACACAGGATCACCTCTGTGGCTGTATACACATCACCATTTATTCTGCATCCAGTGCACTCCCATTGCTAGTTTTTGAAGCCACATACACATGAGGTTAACCCAGAGCCGGCTCTGCCCTTAGGCATACTGAGGCAGGTACCTCAGGCAGCAGAAGCCCCCAAGGCAGCAGCCCTATAGGTGCCTTTCCCCCGCCACAGAAGCAGAGCCAATATCAGCAAGACAGATTGTGTGTGATTTCAGCAAGATCTTACTCAAGATTAAAGCCAGCAACAGAGGTGACAAGGTAGGCAGAGAAGTGGCAACAGCAGAGCAAGGCAGCGCTTCCCATTTTGCCTCAAGTGGCAAAACGGGATGTGCCACCCCAGTTTAGCCATAATCTATATCGGTTCTGTAAGTTCTTGAGAAGTGCTGTCTATTGCATTTTTCATCAAAGCAGCTTTGCTTCAGCCGGAAAACAAGCCAAAATTCACTTTGCAGGGGTCAGCCAGTTGTGTACATTTGAGGCATCTGTTGCACATGTGCAAATGTCAGCTTTGTGGAGAGGTGTTTGGGGGTGTGTGCATGGGAGGGAATCAAACAGGATAATACGCATTAGGTAAAGACACCCTCTTACCTGTCTCTGATGTGGACAGCAAGGGGCAAATGTGGCTTGAATCACAGCAGGAGGAGAAATACCTTCACTACGTTTTAAGCCACTAATGCGTACATATCCTGATTCAGTTGTGCGCACTGCATGGCCTTGGACAGCTCTCAGCATTTCAGCTTGTAATCCCTCTATCTATAAAATGAGGGAAACCAAGGCTTACCTTACAAGAAAGGCTAGCACAATAAGATTGTAAAGTTAAGAGTTGTTAAACCTCTGGCGGGGGAGCTTTCCTGTGGATGAATCGGCATGACTTCTGCTAATGGAAGTCTTGCTAATCTGAAGGCATTAACCGCTGTGTAGATACAGCTGAGGACGTGGGTGGCGCTGTGGGTAAAAGCCTCAGCGCCTAGGGCTTGCCGATCGAAAGGTCGCGGTTCGAATCCCCGTGGCGGGGTGTGCTCCCGCTGCTCGGTCCCAGCGCCTGCCAACCTAGCAGTTCGAAAGCACCCCCAGGTGCAAGTAGATAAATAGGGACCGCTTACTAGCGGGAAGGTAAACGGCGTTTCCGTGTGCTGCGCTGGCTTGCCAGATGCAGCTTTGTCACGCTGGCCACGTGACCCGGAAGTGTCTCCGGAGTCTTGAGTGAGATGGCCGCACAACCCCAGAGTCTGTCCAGACTGGCCCGTACGGGCAGGGGTACCTTTACCTTTACCTAGATACAGCTGAGTGGCCGTCATTTCAAGATAGACAAACTGTTTCATGCAACATGTAGCTCATGTATGGCAAAAATGGCCACTAGGTGGGATGGCGTTTCAAATGGATTAGACAAGAAGCATAGTCTACTGAAAACCTTTAGTTATGATAAAAATGGAGCCTCCATGTCCAGGAACAGTGTACCCCTGATAATCACTTGTCAGGAAAAGACCTCTCAGTTTTGCTGCTGCTTGTGAGCATCTGTTTCCCAAGTATTGGAGGCTGTATATGTGAAGCAGAACTTTGGCCTGCTCTTCTGATCCTGCAAGAGCTGTTCGTGTTCTTCTTTCCTTTCCATATTAAACATGCCATGCAAATACCTTTATGGAAACAATGCACCAACAAGTGTCAGCTTGTCATGCATCCAGCACCAGCAGGAATATTTTCCCTGCTGGTATCCCATTTGTTCCCAGTTTTTTGCTGCATGAAAAGCCAGGAATCATTAATAAGGGTTTTGGATTGTCATTGTATTTGATTGTTTGTGTGTAAGTTTTCATTTTGAACTACCCAGAGGACACTGTTGATCGAGAGGGATAAATAAGCCATAAACAAACAAACAAACAAACAAACAAACAAACAAACAACACAATAATATATAGTTACAGGTAGGTAGCCGTGTTGGTCTGCTGCAGTCAAAACAAACAAAAAAATTCCTTCCAGTAGCACCTTAGAGACCAACTAAGTTTGTTATTGGTATGAGCTTTCGTGTGCATGCACACTTCTTCAGATACACTGTATCTGAATAACTTTTTTAATAATATTTTGTTTCAACAATAATATATACCTACAGTGATGCTGATGCTGCTAATAAATAACAATTACTTCACAGTAGGAAAAGTAGAGGCAGGAGGCCACCCAGGTTTCCCCCAGAACACACTTAAGTCGTGTCTAATGTAGAAGTTCTGGGGCTCAGTCGTTACACTGGAAACAGGTTTAATGTAAAATAAAATTAATACATTCTCCATGTGTGTCTGCATTTTTAATGACTGGATAAATTGTTGCTGTATATGCTTGGAGACTGGGGTGGCAACTTGAACAAAATATTGAGGGAGGGCAGGTCCCCACCCCACACAATTGATCACAAGATGTGGCACACACACACTATTTGAATGACAATGCCCATCATCTTTTGGGGGTCTATCCCCTCAAATATTTTATGGGGGGGTGCTGAAGGGACCTTGGTCCCCAGGAGTTGGCTCCTATGCTTGGAGAGGTGTAGAGTGCTGAAATCTTCTGATATGACTTCAACAGGAAACAGCTAAACAAGAGAGTTTTCATTTATGCCTATTTACAGTGGAATTCTATGCCTAATTAGAAGTAAATTCTGCTGACCTGTGGGGTTTTCTCTCTGATAAGTGGTTATAGATTGTAAGCCTTACAGGGCACTCCCATGCATATTTACTCTGAAATAATTCACATTGTGTCCTATGGTGCTTGTTCTTAAGTAATGTTGCATAATATTGCAGTCTTAAAAGGCAAACCTGTGCACATTACTTGAGAGTAAGTCCCAATGAATTCAAATAAAAATAAATTCCACTGAATTCAATGGAACTTACTTATTTATATTAGATTCTATTTATGAATCTCATCCCATAAGATACCTCAAATTGATTTCACTGTAAAAACATCAGCAATACAAAGAAAAAATAATTTCATATAGAGAAACAACTTCTGAGTATTCATGCTTAGGGTTGTGCTGTGTACAGTAAGTCACATATAGGTCAACTTAATGGTTAGGCTTTCAGATGAAAAGGTGAATATGTTTCTCAGCTGTCCAAAACACCTTTGAGTTATAGGAGCTTGCAGGTACCAGTAATTGGAGCCTATTTGCCTTGCTAGCCATTGTGTGTTTGAGCGGTTGTCTTCTGCTGAGCTAATTGCACCAGTAATTTATTTCACACATTATTTTTTTCTGCTTGACTTGAAAATGCAAATATCCTCCAGCTATTCATGTATATATCACTCACACTAACAATATGTATAATAACAGAGCCAGCAATGATTTATGAGTACATCTTACTGAATATGTTTGTCAATGCACTTGTGCTTCATTAATACCCAGCATCAGGGGTTCCCACTACAGGTGACTGGGGAGGGGGATAAAAAGAGTAGCAATAGGAAAAAAGAAATGAGCAACAACATTTTTTTAATATGACAAAATATGGCACTTCAGTTAGTATAACATTTGACTACTTGACTAATATGCCCTACTATAGACATCAGCTGTAAGAATTTGGTGGGAAATACAAATAAAGCTTTGCATAAAGCTGTCCTGTGAAATGTTTATATTCAAATACATAATTTAAGTATGATTTCTGATAGTAATGCCCTTAAATGACAGAGTTAAAATGTTTGCTGTGGGCTAACCTTGTAAAGAAAAATAATAAAAACATGTCATAGATTTACTGTGCTAAGAGCAAAATGCAT